AAGGCACTCAAACAGAACAAACTAAATAGCATCTTACTGTGCAAGCTAATCATATTAATATAATTTCTTCATCTCACATAGTTGATGCTATTAATAATAAGAATAACATAATTTGTTGTTGTTAAGTGCCTTCGAGTCTGTTACAACTCATAGGGACCCTGTATAGGATTTCTGAGGCTTAAAAAAAAAAATCTTTGGGGAAACAGACAGCTTCATCTTTCTCCCACAGAGCAACTGGCGGGTTCGAACTGTGAACTTTGTGGTTCGCAGTCTGGTGCTTACAGTATGGAATCGACACACTCCCCAGAACATAATTATATGAACTAAAATGTTTTTAATTCCTAAAATCCTATAGGATAAGATACACATAACAGATAATCATTTCATAATTCTTTAACTATGATGAAAAAATATATATATTACCTTCCCTATTGTGGTGCTGTGGGTTAATGCACTAGACTGCAAAGTCAGTTTGAACCACAAGGTAGGTGGTTCAAGCTAGCCAGTTTCTGCTCAGAAACCCTATATAGAGTGGCTGTGGGTCGGAACTGACTCAACAGCAATATCTTTTATTAACAGTATCTGGGGGCAATTATTCTGACATTGTTACAATTCAATGATTTCAGAAATATTCAATATTTCTGGATTCCATTCTATGTATGTGTACTCTTGAATGCTTATTTGTAATAACAGGAACCAGTTTGAACATGATGGTGAATCGGGTAGACGTGCAATGAGCATCAGCAACAACACAGAATACCGGACTAAGTAGGCTCATGGGATGGTGCTAGAACTCTGAACCACATATAAAGGAATATTTAGAAGCTTGGAAGACTTAGAGCTAGGGGAATTTATAGCAGAATCAAGAAATCCATTGCTTTCTAATTCAAGACACTCAGCTGCTCCCGGAGCTGCCATCTTGGGAAAGACCAAGCGGAAGAAGGATCAGAACAGCCACAAACGTCTGACAGAACTGCGGAGATACAAGTGTGGACATTCTTTTTTGGTATCTGTTCATTGCTCTCTTGCCGTCTGTACACCTCCATTCTGGTGACTAGAGGGAATGTCTGAGCAAATGGACACCCCATCCCCATACCTGAAGGGTTCTACTACGCATGCACACAGATCTCCTCAAAATTTAAAGTGACAGTTTGCACTTAAAACCAAACAGCCACCACTTGTTGTCAGTTTGTCGTACTGTGGTGGCTTGTGAGTTGCTGTGATTCTGAAAGCTATGCCACTGGTATTTTAAATACTAGCAGGGTCACCCATGGTGGACAG